TCAGATTTAGGGCAAGTTTTAATTTTCACTGGTGAAACTAGGGTTAGAAACTATTACGAGACTGATATGAGAATTCTGAACGTACAGTACGGCCCACGTTTCCAAGAATTCTGAACGTACAGTACGGCCCACGTTTCCAAGAAATCTGATCGTACAGTACGGCCCACGTTTCCAAGCTAAAACAATGTAAAATAGTGTATTACTTTAACAAACTAAAATTTACTTTTTTTTATCATGTTTTAAATGTCGTACAGAGGGCGTATAAGCTCAGCATAATTAGAAAACAAAATGTGAAATTGTTTGACGAGTGACTAAGAGTTGGACTTCATTAGAAAATGACCAGTAATTTGATATCTGTGACTTATCTAAGTATGCCTGTGTTGAAATGTATCATAAAAATATCAGTTATATCCTTATCATAAACACTCGTTCTACATTTTATCTACTAACCAAAACAATCATTGCAAGCTTGAAAACAATATTTTTATTAACTTTTAGGTTAGTTGAATGTAAATTATATACAGTTATTATGTTTAGGCAACTGATCATCTCATTTATGGTAAAAGGGGTGGTAAGACATACAAGTGATGATATTTATAATTCCGGGATTCCTGAAAGAAAACTGAGTATTACGTTGATGCTGACGTCTTCTTTGCGTCTGTCTCAGAACTGGTTTGGCAAAGCTTTAGTTTAAAGCTATTAATAACACTTGTTTACGAAACACGTGTACTAACCTGATGAACTCCGTTATTGAGTGTAAAAGCCAGTCAGAAGCGGCCTACAAGAAAGTATTTTTGAAATGCTAGATGAATTTATATATTACTGAAAAACCCCACACGAGGTGATTACAATTGTTATGGGGTTGTATTTCCAATATTTACTTCAATAAATTGATGTTGCTCTGTCGTCTAATATAGACACGTGTTTTAGGGTATGGAGGGGAATTCACCTCAACAGTGCCCGTAACTATTGTTCTTAGAATTACTGTTGTAAAACATTATGTATTTTCTCAACAATGTAATTCTGCTGTTGCATATCTATGTAATAAGATTCAGTGTCTGTGTGTGTGTGTCACGTAACTCCTCCTAAATCGCTGGTCGAACCGACTTCTCAGTGGTGTCAAACAAATCGTCTCTTGTTCCGAGGTTTGCACAAAAGTTAAATTTTTCACCCCATCCCTTTGGGAACACGGAGATTTCCCCCAAACCCTCTTATCCTGAACTGCTGGACTCACTAGCTTCTAAGTGGTGCCAAACAAATCGTCTCTTGTCCCGAGATTCCAATCCAATAATCTTGACAGGTATTTGGATTAAAAACAGTTTGAATTGCAAAACAATCAAACTGTTTGACACCCGGGATCCTCGAAGGTTATTTAATACTCCTTCGCCCCGCACTAGGTGGGGGTATATTTCACTTAGTGGAGTGAGATGCTTCTACCTCATTGTTTGAGATGACTTGCGAGATATCGTGAAGTATTAAATTATATTAGACTGCTTGGATGTTAACTCGAGAGAGGGGGGGACTGAGACGAGGAGAAGGCCAAGGTGAAAACGAGGCAAGTCCCGGGGAGAATAGACGTCATGGACAAAAGTAAAACTTTACACTCAACCCCTTAGGGAACCCGGGTGTTTCGCGAAAACACTCTTGCTGAGATTCCCCGAAAGCGGACACGAAATTTGACATTGATTTACGTTAGAGCACGTAAATAAGTATGCCTACTAATTAACGTTCTCAACTTGGTTAAAAAAATAATTTTACATTTCTGTAAATGTGGGCCATAAGCCCACAGATTCGACAGTTGAATAATAAAAGACGTTCTTAAAAAATAACAATGTGTAATTATTCGTGACATTTCGCCTATAAGGCATTGTTAGAAAAACTGTGTATTTACATTTTGTATTGTCATTTTATAATGTAGCCCTTTAATCAATCGGGTTTCGATACCCACGGTGGGCAGAAAACAGATAGCTTAAAAACAAGGGAACAAAAATAATTATTTTAAAATGGTCTTTATCTAACGGAGCTTTCACATATGATCGTAACCCGCCCTTAAAAAGTAGTTGTGTTATTAGACAAGGTAAGCTTAGTGTTATAGTTTAATACGCCTAATCATAGGATTCACGGTTCGCGTCTTATTGGCAAAAAAACGCGCTCATTTCTTTGGGACGTTGGTTATAAGATTGATAGTCAAATCTCACCATTCAGTCAAACTAGTGCCAGCGGTTCTTACTGCTGTCTTCTTTGTAGGCTATCATATTTCGATTCAACTTGATTATTAATTCTGTGAATAGCCTAGTTTCAGGAAACAATGTTTTTTCCTATTACAATAGTCTAATGGCAGTAAGGGGTTATTTGGTCCTCAAGGCTGTCCTTTCACATCCACCCTTCGGAAAAGTAAAAATTTGAATCTACCTTTTCTGAAAATCATCGTTCACCGACAGTAACTTATACGGTCATTCCGTAAAGTACTCACTTGTTAGCAGAATAAAACGGTCTCTATCATCTTAAGAATACAGCACAAAGAAATCAGAGGCCACGATACAGAAGAATGTATTGTTGTCTCTCTTCTGAACCTAATGCCTGGCGGTTAGGGCACTCGATGGTTGTGGGTTGGCAGTGTTTACTAGCTGCCTTCCCTTTTATCGATCACTTCAAAACTAGGGACGCCTATCGCAAATTATTCTGGAGTTGTTGTATGCGAAACTCGACAGATGTTTTTAATATTTATAATCGGGATTCATAATTTGCCTTAATTTCTTTTGATATGCCGTTGTGTGTGTGTGTGTGTGTGTATGTGTATACTTCCCATGCGTGGTGTTTGTCAGTCTCTACAGTTTCATTATAATTATATTACCTTAGTTCAATATTCCCTTATCAGCTGTCTCGTTAGATATTATTGGGATTATGGCCGAAAATGTCGATCGTTTACAGCAAGAATACCCAACTGATGAAACAATGCAATCGAATCCGTATAAGAAACGTAAGTTTAATTACCTGTACTTATCACAGGATTCATTTTTAGTTTTGGTCTAAGTAGGTAGGTAGCTAGCTCTGATCAGAAAATAATATTAAATACTAAAAACATTCACGTGCTTTTCAAACATAGTCTGTTCAGTTGTTAGTTTGACCCATGGTGTGCCCTTTAATCTGTTCTACATGGCTAAAATGTTAAGTTTTTTTTCCATTCGAGACTTCTCAGTTTATGTTATATTCTACGTTCTTTATTAATTGTTCAAAATTTTCGGTATAATTTTTTTACGTATTTCATAAACGAACTTTGTTGTCAAACATATTTGGTAAAGACCAATAAAGAGAAATATCCAAAACAGGCGATTTAATCCTCATCATCTTCATGGTTATAAATCTCAGTAACGTGGACTGCCGGTTTCACTTTTACAGCAAAAAAAAAAAAAAAAAAAAAAAAAAAAAAA